ACCTATTATATTTTACAATTTCGATCTAAGACGTGGAGAAAAAAATGTACAACAAATTTGTTACGTCTGTGTTATTATAATATATTATAAACACAAACAAAATGTATTCTGTAAATTCCAAACTTCATGTATGTTATTTTTATTTTTTCAGATTATAGTTGATTATGATATTATAATATAATATTATTATGATTAGGGTCAGGATTTCAAAGTAAAGTGAATTTTTTTTTTTTTGGAGGGGAGATAATTGAAGACAGTGATTTTCATAACTACATAATTTGATTCATGTAAAATATTTCAAAAGTGAAAATTTTTCAATTTTAAGTATTTTACGATAATTTTGTTACACAACATCATAGTTTAAATTCAATTGATTTCAAATATTATCTCAAGATATGTAATTTTCACGAAATTTGTTTTAATAGGTTTTAGGTAGAATATTTTGTTTTTATGTGTTCCTTATAAAATACAGGTCTATGACAATTATTGTTATATTTATGATTTCCATACAATTTTAATCTTGTATCAATCATCAACTGCTGTGACCCAAACCTTAAACAAATAACAACTACAAAAGTGAAAGTTTTAATTTTGTATTCCTTACCATATTTAAATTTTCAGATCATTTTAAACTCGAGCTATAATTGTATGACTTTTAATACAAAATTTGATATGCTTGTTATATAGTATTTGGTTTTAAGTACATAACATTTTAATTGGCTATGATATAATTTTATTTTAATTATGCTCTGAAACATTTGTATTTTGGCCTAATGTACGAGGTCACTACAATAAATATTTGAATTATTAAAATTTCTCACTTATTTTAAACAAATTTTAATTATTCTGCAATATTTGAACGCCATGTAAATATAGGTTCCAATTTTTTTTCCCTTCTTGTCTGATGACAATAACCTAAAAATTCAACTGAGATGTAAAATAATATTCTGAACATTTGAATGACAATGTTTTGTGAAACAAATTTTGAATAAATAATCATGCACTTATACTTACTTTATTGTATTATAATATTATTGTTAGATAAGAGAATAGAAACATTTAGTTTGAGTTTTCTTGTTCTTCTAAACATGATAATTTAAATGTTAATAAACCAATAACAATATCGACTAAATATTATTCCATATTAAATGTGCATCAATATATTTGAAAAAAAATAACGATCGAACTACGGGAAATGAACTTAAAATTGCTTAATCAAATATTAGGAGTTTGTAATTTAAAACCTAAAACTACTCAAGATTAGGTATATATAATATATTGATAAAAAAAAGAAACACGAACACAACAAATCTATAGAAAGAATGGTTGGTAAAAAAAACCGTCAAAGTATATAGTTTAAAACTATAAGACCAATACAAATTTTGATTAAATTAATAAAGCAAAATATAACGAAGTTCGATTCTTACGTATGTTCCGCTTATTACTTCTGCATGTGCTTCATCGGGTAATTTTTTTCCTAGTTTCCATTCATAACATTGTGCAGTGCACAATGTGCACTGTTATTATTACTTTTTGTTTTATGTATTTAAGTAGATTACATTAAATTATATTAAAAAATAATAATAATAATAACTAAAAGTCGATAAAAAATTATAGTTTTGATCAATTTATATTATATATAGCAATTTTTCTAAAAATAAATCTGATTGAGGAGTTACTATATTAGGGAGGTCATTTTTTAATTTTTCCAAAAAATGTGAAAAACGTAGGAAAAACAGGAAATTAGGTACAATATTAAACAAATATTATTAAAGAAAATAAATAATGCATATTATGTAATTAATTTACCATAATATGATATACATATTGTTGACAAAGCATCACAATAAACCGAACTCAGTTCAGAATTGTTTTTTCGTTAGCAATGGTTAATCGTTACGAACAAATATAAATTATATTTCCCCTCTACTACCGTCCCAATTTCTTACCAACAACAGTGGCCCAACCACGTGCGAAATATATCTGTCTTTTATTTTGATTGTATGAATATATTATACCAGATTAACGAAATTTTAAAGATAACGACATCCATAGCGAAATCGTATATATTATCTTGTTTTATATAATACATGTTATCATATTATTATTTTTAATTAAATATGTAAATATAATTATTAACCTTATTATTTAACCAAATTAGAATTGTTTTTGTTCAGTTATAATTATATCTCCATTAAAACATATAATACACAATTGTTCTATGGCATTATGTATACGACACAACACGACAAAATTCGGATCACACACAAATAGGTACATCGAAAATGGGGAGAGCAAAATGTAAAAACGAACGTTACAAACACGAAGTCATAATCGCAATTAACAGCGTGACCGGTGGCTGAACCATGTAACTTCATTGTACCAATCGCTCCTACGAAGTAGTCTACTATAAATATAGATTAAATTACGTTGTTATTAATTAATGGAGTTTTAAAATCCGTAATTAGGCGATGTATGATAGGATAAAATGTATAATAAACCTTGGTACTAAAACTAATTTATTAAAGCGGTAGGTATCGTCGTAAATTATATAAAATTATTATTATATTTCGTCGTAAATCAAATGGAAACCCTTCTGCAAGAATAGGTATATATTTTCCTAGACGATTAATTTAATATTATTTTAATGAATTTTACCAAACTTCGAGTTACTAAAACTATATTTTTATAAAAAAAAATATATAGTTGATATTACTCACATGTGGGCCATTGTAATAGTAGGTATTTGGAAAAGTAGGATATAGAGAATAATAATTTAGTTTTTAATATACTGTATGCAATCATAAATCATAATAAACAAAAAAAACTATTCTGAGTGGATTAGTTTTGTTTTTTTTCTTTTGTTGCCAAGGAAACCTAGAAATCACCAACGAACGAAAAAAACTTAGGAAATACAATTTTGATAAATATTTCAAATATACTAACATAGGACAAAAATGAACAGACGTGGTCGTAGTGCCGACGTATAACTCGTTCACCTCCGTGAGACGGTTGTCTATACGCTTAAAAAGGTCGGTGGATAAAATACAATTCTCGCTAACACTAGCATTGTCTGTACACCTGGTTGCCGCGTTGTGAGTCAAAGGCAAAAAAGAGTGTTCACACGTCTATTGGGCACCTAACGAGGTGTATGCATTTCAACGATTCATTGATACACTATATCACTTATATCTTGCTCCTAATATTTTGAGCAACGAACTTCTTGTGAACTTCAAGTATTAAGTATATGGAAAGTGTAATTTTTACATAGTTTCGTAATAGAATATTAATAAGAGTAAAATGGACAGCAGAAGAGAAATATATCTTCTTACGATAGGCAATAGCCATTGTCAGTAAATATAATAGGTACGTGTTTGATCGGCACAATATAGGTATACGTACGTATATTACAATATAACCCGAACGACCGCGCGCGCGCGCACACACACACATATTTAGAACCATTTACACACACACACTATACCGATTTTGTCAACATATTACGCTGCGAGTATATTCAATGTCTTATCCGACCGATTGCGCATTGTGGCAACACTGCCGTCAATCATCCTATTGATAGATGGATCACCACGTATTCGCGTCATACGTCTTATATACGGACATGATATACTTATACCTATTACCTCTTTACGACCCCATACTCTTCCCATGCCCCTTAGCAACTCTTTAAATTTGTAAACCAGTCGTTTATGAAATAGAAAGTTTAAAATTGTATAAGTAAAATAAGTTAATATTTTACAGATTATTATATTTTCTTTGATTTAAAAATAAAACGAATGTGGTATTTCCAAATATTAATGTTTTTTAAATAGTTATACTATCAACGAGTGGCTTTTTTCTGTAGCTGATATTCATTTTGCAATATTTTAGACTATTCGGTGTAAATATTTTACCCACAATGGAAATTTATAATTAACAGAAAATTAATGACAATAATAAAAAATCACCTTTTACGATACACAGATATCGTATGTTTCCTTTATCACCTACATTATAAACTTTTATCAAATTATTTTAACAATTGTGTATTAAATTAGGTAAGAATTTACGGTACTTTATATTCAAAAAACGATATTAAATAGATTGAAAAGTTTTGCTATTCAAATTATTCAAAAATGAATAACAGTTTGTAGTTAGTGTGAACTCAATACCATAAATTTGAACGCTTTGATTTTATTGTTGTGCGCGTTCCTTTCGCTTTACCATATTTTATAATTTCGAAAGGGTTTACAGAGAAATGTTAAAAATTAATTGATTTAAACTACCACTTGTGTTTTTACATGTATGCAAATTACCAGTGCGTATTTTTACTAATCAAAAGTTATTTTAAATCTATAAAAATAATCACAAGACGTGCATCGATATTAAACGTATCGTATTATATTATCTTATATTATCTATATTATATTAATATAACATCTTGTATAAGTAGTTAAGAAATATAATTCAAAAAAAAAAAAAATAATAATAATAATAACAATAATAAAAACATAAACACAAATTGAAAAATTTTCGTTGGTAATTATTACATTTTACTTTTTGAAACCATAAAATATAGACAAAAATATAATAGGTAAAAAAAAAAATATAGGTTTAGCAACTTAATTAAGTATATCGTTATTTTAATAATCCTATTAACAATTTAAATGTGATAGTTTGTTTGGATTGGTTTTTTGTAACTTCACGCCAAAACTACAAAAATAATTGATTTCACATTTTGCATAGATGTATTTCTAGACTAGTTATAATATTTAGAATACTTTTCCCCGAAATCAACTCCTACAGGAGAGCTGACACGGGACTATTGGTATTCTTGGTATGCAAGCTTGGTGATACGGATGAAATAAAAAAAAAAAGTTGAAACAAACAAAACAAAAATAAATAAAAATGTAGACCGTGTAAGGACCATAATAATTGTCGCGAGGATATAAACAACGAATAGTGATTATATCATAGAAACCGGTTACATAGTTAACTGTTCTATTGTAATTCTTTTGGCTCGTTTTATGGCCTATTGGAGTGGGGTATTACCACGACAAGGAGAAATTGTATACCCTCGAGTTGTGAATCCAGAAGGGAAAAGCGCATATCATCTCAATCTCTTCCCCGAAACATTTACTGCTTATTGCTTATGGCTTTGTGCTAGCGGTATTGCTTTATCCTGGGAAAATTGTATACCCCAGGATGTGGATCAAGGGGGAAGGGAGTATGTGTTGTCCTCGAAAAAAAGTTTTATATTTTTGTTAGTTATTTATATTAGGTAGTATTTTTTATTTTTTTCATAATAACAGTAGGTAATATCAAGGTCTATATAATCATATATTAACGTAATATTTGTTTAAAAGAAATATATGATTTGTTGATATGTTGATAAGTGGCCTTGCCACTTACGAATTAAATAGACATGGGCAACACCCGTGCTAGTATTGTTAACATTATATTACGATACAATTATTTTTTTTTAAAAATGTGTATAATATTTTTAAAATAAAATAATTAAGAACATATTTCTAAATTGTTTGGTTCAGTTTAAAAGTATTGATATTCGAAAAACATTAAGTGTTATTGTTAGAAAAATGTTTCAAAACATATTTTAGCTAAATTAAAAATCTCTTGCTGTTTTACGATTAGAGAGAGATTTCTGGTAGAAAACATAAAACGTAAAAATATAAAATAATGAAATCGTACTCCGTAAACTTATTTGGTTAGGTTGGGAAAATCACAAAATTCCTTATTCGCCAAATAGATTCAAAATATAACTAAAAGGATCAACTGAATTTTCGTAAATGAAGCAACATTTTTGGTTTAAAACGTGATTTGTAAAAAATACAAATACATAATTTCAAAATATTTATTTGCAAATTAATTTTTTTACATGTTTCATGTATAATATTACTATATGTATTGGACTTGGTAACATCAAATTTAATATGAACTTTAATCTATCGTAGATAATAATCGCGTTGGCTACTGGAAAATTTGAAATAATTGTTCAATAATAATCATATTTTGCAGGTTATTTTATTTTTAATTCACTCGAAGTATATTTCCCTATACAATTGCAATTTTAAAAAACTAATAACAAATCCGCCACGGGAAAAAAGACGGGTGCTCGCATACTGCGTTACACGTTTTATGTTTTTGGACTTTTAGATAATGCGTGGGAATTTTATTATAATAAAATAACGTGTGAGTGGGTGTGTTTTCTTTTTGAGTTAGTACAATCTTGGTGGTAGTAAACATGCGGCTCAAAAAGTTTTACAAAGTAACTTAATAGAAAATATAAGACGTAATGAAAAGAAGATTGTAAGTACTTTAAAAGGTCATTTTTTTTTTTTTTTTTTTTTTTTTAATTTGTCTACAGCTTCACGTGTCGATACTGTTTTATTGACAAACGACCATAGACGTCAGGTAAACGCTTTAAGTCGTAGAAAGTCGTTTTAGTTTGGAAAATCGCGTTATGAACGCCGACTTTGAAATTTAAAATTTCAGATTATTATTATTGTAAATATATTAAATAACATTATAAATGAATGGCCTTCCGCTCTTTTCACTGTGGAATCTAAAATCATTTTTAACGAAACGCTTGTAAAATTATCAATACCTATATTTTTATTTAGCTGACGATTTTCGCTGAAAATGAAAAAAAAAAACGAAAACGGACCTATACCGAACAACATATAAAATATTATAGTTGGCTCGGCCCGAGTCCTATGTGTACCTCTCATCGGGTGTTTTTGCGTGTAAGACTTTATAATAGGTACACGACTTTGAACGGACATTTTATAATGGCACGTTGCCCGGTAAGGTTATACTCAACCCGGTCAATGTATGCTCATGTTCGTGGCAGATCGGTCATATTATTATAGTGAACATTAGGGATGCCTATGCCGTCACTTTTTATAGCCGTATTATAATATATTATTTTACGAATAAAAATAATTGTTAAAACGTTTATTCGCAGTCAGATAAGTCTTTGGCCAACGATAACTGATTATCATAGAAAAAAAAAAAAACATGCGTGAGCAGCAGAATTCCGTGACTAGAGTCGAATATTTTCCCCCGTTCATTTTAAATATTTTTTGAGAAACTATAAATAAACGTATAAAATACTATACACTACACTACAAATACTGCTCACAAGAAGATTTTGAAATTTGATCATAAAAATGGTTGGGTTCGGAAGTTGGAAGTAAAAATTTCCAAAAAGTGCGTTGAAACCGTTTCGACACCAGAAAAACAAACGATTCTATCAGTTGGACTCAATGGATGTGTAAAAAAAAGTACGCCTTAAAACATGATAACTTAATATGTACGGTGAAAAAAATAGAATGATGTTTGTTCAATTCTCATCTCCCCCTTCAAATTGTCTTCTATATTTATCTAGTTGGTGGTTTCTTCAATACTATATTTGAACATGACAAAAATGACAAAAAAAAAAAAAAAAAGGGAAAAATTATGTACTACTTTTTGCATATTTATTACATCTTTGTTCAAATAATATTATTTCTATTGTTCTTGTATCGGGGTGTTTGTGTTTTAGATTCATTCTCTAAATCACTAGTGAAAATTATATTTTTATAGATAATATAGGTATACTAACTGAATACATTTTTCACTACTTAAAAAACCAGAAAAAAAAAAAGATATACCTATAATATTATAATATAGCTGATAATTTACTGATAATTTCTCTTAAATAATAATTTATTATAATTATAAAACTAACCTATAATCATAATTATGATTATAATTATAATCAAATAAACTTACATTTACATGTTAAATAAAAATGTTATTAATTTCTAGAATAGTCTTATATTATTTGTATATTTGGTGTATAGCGATTGGTTTTTACAATGATGTTTATTTTTTATTTTACTTTTTTATTCTATGAACACTTTTTTTACCAGAAATCCCGCTCCAATGTAACAAATGAAGGAAAATGTTATCTATTTGATACTTTGAGAAGGTTATATTTTAATTTTTTAAGTGGTTTTCGTAGTAATTGGGAATAATTGGGAAGATAAGACAAATTGGAAAATTTACGTATATTAACAATGGCTTATCGATACTTACAAGTATAAATTAATTAACTTAACGTACCCTACCTTTTTATAGTATTATTTATTGTTATTCGTTCATGGGAGTGTTTGTTTAGAAAATAGTAAGCATCAAAAAACAAAAAGTATAATTTTTATTTCAATGCTTTCGGACAGAATAATTTTTTTCCAAGAACTGGACTACGTGTATTGGTTGACCACAGAAATGCGAATCACTGTTTTAATATTACCGTTTTATTGTGAGCAATGCTAAAAATCATCACATAAAAAAAAAAAATGATATTCGTATGACATTTAACGTTCTTAAAGAAAATTGCCAGCACATCTCATGAAGACATGGTGAAATCGGGAACTTTTTTTCAATCTGCTGCACTAGGTCTTCGAAAACGACGAACGGTCTTCAACTCCTTACATTATCATGCATATCAGCACGGCCTTCTTTAAATAACTGAATCCACTTGGTAACATGGAAATGTATCATTTCCTTGGATCGATAGGTTTCCACAAACTGGCGTTGAATGCTGGCCATGGAGACGTTACGTAAATAAGGAACCGGACGACAGAGCGAATTTTACACCTACAGTAGGTGGAGCGAACGGAGGACAAACTAGTTCACGCATTTGACTGCTGTGATGACATTTCGTAATGGAATTAAGAGCTTGGCGGCTTGTTTTAACCGTTAATACTTCTCTAAACGTACATGATGGCACATTTGAAAAAAGAAATTCTAGAAATGAAATATCCTACACGGCCCTTGAAATCTTACTTTCTAGAGACGTCCCTCGTACTAATAATAATGTAGACAAAATCAGGGAGGGGTTTCAGCCCCACCCCCCTCATGAGTATTACACGAATGTATGAAAAACACAAATATTATCTTGATTTTTAAAAACCTATTTATAAAGTTAAACTGAAAAAATAAACTGTTCAAACATATACCTATTTATAATTTGTATTGCACTTGTTTCAACAGTTTCATATAATTTTCGTAAAGTCTATTCAAAATATGTTATTCCGTTCTTGTTTCTTTTGCTGATATTATTATATTTTAATATATCCGTTTATTATAATGTTTTCTATATTAATAAGGTAGTTTATAAGGACGTTACACGTGTATTTGCTGTCTCATACAAACGTACAATATAGCGAATTCTCGTTAACAGAACTTATTTCAGTCTTTTAGTTATAACATTAAACTGAATTAACTACATTAAACTTAAAGGTAATTCAAATTAAGAGTTTGTTAGTTTTTTTTATTTTAATTTTAAACAAGATATTACGTGTGTGTTTAATATCAAGTCTTAACAATTTTTATTTCTCACTCAAAATGTAAAATATCAGAAAAAAATGAACGTGCAAACACAATATAATGTTCTTATCTTTATATTTTGTAATTTATTCTGGTATTAAAATTAAGAACACGGAATCGGTAAATGCGTGACGTGTAGCATCCTCTTAAGTCTTAAGACGAAACAGTAAAACGAAAATGGTATACTCAAATTTACTATAAATATTATTGATTGTGTAAAAATGATCAGAAAAATTAAAAATAAAGAATTTCCGTAGAACTACACGCGTTTTATTATAATATTTACGTTTCGCATTGTCTGTGTCTGTTTATATAAAAAATATAGCAATAAAAAAAAAAAACAGAAATTGTTTTAGAATAATATACTCGATCGTAATATCAAATATAAAAGATATAAATAAAGAAAAAATATTATTAAATAATACAGATAATATGCAAAACAAATTAATAAGTTATTAAACAAAGAACGAAACAAAGCCCGAAGTATTATTCAAGTTGTGTATACACGACCGGTTTGGAATTTAAAAAATCACCATCAATTTATAGAACGACAATGATGCAAAAACAGTACGCGAATGAATTAAAATCAAAATGAGGAATACATAATGTAAAAAAATCGTAACTTATTGTTTTTATTTTCTACAAGCAGTAAACCAATTCTTATTCTACTAGAAGAGATTATAAAACGCGATGAGATGACGCATAGATTGAAGAAGTTTTATTACTATTGAAAAAAATACCGACAAATACCTAAACACCAGTACCTTCAGAAGATTATTTTTTAAATCTGCCTGTACGCATTCAAGATGATTTTTAATTTATTTTCTTTTGATACAGCATGCGTATAAGTATAATTATGTTAAAAATCTTAAATTATGATCTAGATTTGAAAAAAAAAAAAAAAATTGAATACTTATTTTTTGGTTTCTGCAAACAATTTTAAAATGTCTAATATAATCGACATTAAAATTTTAGTAGATATTCGCAGTTAAAATGACATCGATTTACAGAGATAATCTGAATGATCACGTTTACCTAATATAGGTAGGTGTGGTATTATAGACGTTTATAATGCGGTACGTAAATGCGGAGTAGGTAGTTAAATATTTGATAAATATACGACTATAAGTTTATGTAGGGTTTTAGAAAATATACTATAAGTCATTGAAAATATAGCGATAAATTGTATTTAACGCGATTAAAGAAACTTTAACTTTAATCTTATATAAATCATCGTAAATTTAATACATAGCGTACCTCTATACTTTATATAGGTATTTTATAAAAAAAAAAAAATGTATAAAAATTCTAACCAAGAGCGTTAAAGTACGTGATAAATATATTATATTCAGTTTAAATATATATTTCTACTATATATTTTTAAATGCGTCGTTGACGTTTTAGCGAAAGTTTTGTAAAATAATTATAAAGGTTCGTAAAAAAACAAAAAAAACAATACCATTTGAATGGATGGTTTTTTTTTAAATATTTTAATCGTATTATAGAGTCTATAACATAGACAATATAAATGGCTTTAAACTGGTGAAAATATTTGTTAGTTATGTTACCAAGTTATTATTATACAATAATTATATTATTTATATTTCACTTTCTGACGTTGCTGATGGAATTGTATAAATTTTTATTATTTATTTATTTTTTTGTATGACTTGAACAAAACGATATTTTCGATGTTCGTGATTTCATACGAAAACATCGTAAATATTGTTCGAAAAATCATCGTATCCGGGGACTCGATATTTTTAAAATACAAATCACGAATTTGTATTATTGTATTATTGCTGCGGTACGTGTGTTTAATAGAAATTACAAATTTTATTTTAGTATCTATATGTATACGAAATCGATAAACTTTTATTTGGACTTCCTAATTCGGTATTGGAAGCGAATAAGCTTTTATAAATAATATAATAATATTATTTAGAAGTGGCACTAATAGTGGCGTAAACAAAATTTTCAAATGTTAATGGGGGGGGGGGAGTGTAGTGTACGGACGAATAAATATATGTTAATGTGTATTAAAAAATATATGTATTTATTATACAATATGTATTTGTACATATTTTTACCAAAAAAGTGTTAAAAAAAAAAAAAAAACAAATCTTTAACAAAACCAATAGTTTTTCTACTCTATATGTTCAGGGTCTAGAATAATAAATGGCCGACACTGCTGATGGGTGTGCAAGTTAGAAGGGAGGATACATAATATGATTTTATTTATATCTGTACGCAATGATGAGACATTTCTAATGTTAAAAAACGATTCTGAACAGAATATTATTAATTGTATTTTATCCATTGTTGCCAACCTGGTTACCCATAAATCAATAAAAATTGCACTAAAAGTTGTCAGTTTTCCCGTTTAAGAAAACTTAAAGGGAAATTCAAAAAATGACTTACTTCTTCGATGCACTGACTAGAATAAGAATTCTACAAAAAATGGCTATACAATTTTTGACTGGCGCAATATTTAACATTTTATATTTACTTGTAAAAAATTAAAAGGACGTTCTTATATGTTGCGGCCGCAATCATAAAAAGAATCCTATATTAATGAAGATGGCAGGTGCACGATATTTTAATTTTTTTGTAGTGAATATTTAGAATTTTGCAGTGTACACAAAAATAGCCTACGGTGGGCCAGGGGAGTTGATGAATTTCAATAACAAATAACCGGGTGTGTTCACTAGATGATAAATTATCAGATATATATTATCTATATAGTATATATTTAAATCAGTTTCAACTCATAAGTCTAAAATTGTAAAAAAAAAAAAAAAAAAAGTGAAACGTAAATTATTATTATGAAAGTATTAGTTTATTTATTATAAACTGTGAACTCATGGGCCCCCAAACGAACCTGTTTAGCGGGGCCCATTATCTTTTCAAGGAATAAATAATAATAATAAAAAAAAATGTTTAGATCAAGTTGACGTCTTGCGAGTATTAAAAATTACAAGGAAACGTCTATAATTGTAAAAATTATTTATGAAACTATGTATGCCTATACACATACGGTTTACGTCAAAATCGTATAAAAATAAACCCCTAGACCGTCCTCCTGGCTGCCCCGCATAACGTAAAATGTATATATTTTATAGTTGTCGATTTTTAAGAGCTTTTACGGTAAACGTTCAACGGTCAACATAATATTATGCGTGTGTATAGTATAAAAAAATAACAAAAACAAATTCGTTAAATCGGTTACACAGTTTATTAATAATTTCGTTATTTTTGTGTACGGTTTAGTTCCCGGTCTTTTAATAAAGTTAGGTATAATTAAAAAAATAAAAATAATAAAAAAAAAAAAAAACAGACGGCAATAACAAATACCGCGGCGTCTTCGAAAGGGTGGTGTATTATTTAAATAAAATATCACGGCCGCGATAATTTGTTTGCAAACGGTTTTTTAATTATTGTACGGTTTTGGTTCAAAATTAACATTATATTATAATATAGCAACTGTACACGGAAACTACACCGCATTGAAAATAAAATTAAAATTGTCATAGCCTAACCCGGTTGGCCCGACTGTAATAATGAATCACTTCAGTTTTCAGGGGATGTAAACTAAAAGTAAAAAATTAAAAAAAAACATACCTATTTAATTATTATTTTTTAATAAATGTATAATTATATACTCTACCGCGGAGAGAAATCGACTTTCTTTAAACGGAAAAAATAAAATAAAATAATGATAATAAAATTAAAGGTTCGCCTAGAAATAAAATGTTCGTAATTAAATGTCTGTTTTACTACACCCGTAGGTAGGTCAAAATGTAATTAATAAAAAGAACCGTTTATTTATACATCTACCCGCGAATTTGGAGCAATTAAAAAATGATTAAAAACTAAATTTTTCGTCACTTACCGTTGGGTACCAATTGGGGCACCAATTGACGTGAAAAAAAAAAAAAAAACAACAACAACAAAACTCGCTATTCCCCGTTCACGTTGAGTGGGAAACGACGAAATTTGATGCGGACGCACACGTTCCCCCGAGAATCGGATAACTTCCAATAATTTCACGGCACTTCGAAAACGGCGAAAAAAATCAAAATATTTTTTATTATTATTATTATTATTTATTTATTTATTTTTTTTTTTTTGAAAAAAAAAAAATAGACGAAACGTTCAATCACCCCGTGCTCGTGTAGGTATTTCAAAATACGTTTCCGCGTGTGCCGGACCGCCGGTGACGGCCGCGTATAATTTCGTACGTGCGGATACAGCGATAAAGCGATACGCGTGAAGTACAAGTTGTGAGTGCGCGCGCGTTTGTAATTACTATCGGTAATAAAGTAACAACGGTTATCAACAATTGCCGGCGTTAAACGGACCGACGAACGCGACCGCGGCGGCGACGGGCGACTGGCGAAATCGGCGGCGGCGGCGACGACGACGACGGCGGAAGGTGTTGCTGACTGGCGCGGACCCGGCGAAAAATCACACTACGGGGGTGGAAAACCGGCGTGAACGCTCAGCCCCTCAGTCAGCGGCTTTACGGCGATCGGCGGCTGTTTACCGCCAGGCTTCGCTATATCAACGCCGCCGACGCCGCGAGACCTTCCGCGCGATTATATTGCCGCAGACTGCCAACCCCCCCCCCACCCCCTCTAAACCGCTATTATATTAGGCATTATACTTATACGTACCTATACGGAATACGTGTGCACAGCGCGATATACTTATATACGTACAGAGCGCGGTCAAATAATTGTACCCCACACCCGGTATTTACAGTGCCCGGGCGGACAAACAAAAGCAAAGTCGGCGGGTTAGGACACACGTAAAGTCACTCGGTTTATATCCGTACGAGACGACCGACCGTTGCTGAGCGATCAGCGGCGGTTAAAAAATTGTTTGAAATTTTTGAATTTAACGCGTACGTGGAAAAAAAAAAAAAACGAATACATTTATTATTTTTCTTATCGCTGAGTGCAACGTGTAAAGAATTGCGTATTGAATTGCCGAGCATTCCTGTTTAGCCGAGCAATTGTAACAACACGAATGGAAATTTAAAAAACTCAAGACTATAAAATGTCTATAAATAGTTTAAAAATCGCCAAATATTTTGAAAATTTTACCACGGCAGAAAAATGTAACTGAAATATTTTGTGAAAATTTCAGCTTACATTTACAATTGTATAAAATTACTAAATCGAAAATTTTGGAAACCGGTAATGCCGTAAATATTATCCTCTTTTTAACTTGTTGCGGTTTTTTTTAATTATTGTGAAAACGACATTAAGTATGAAATCATTAAACGACTTTCTTTATTGACTGTCTTACATACCTAATACACATTTTTTTCAGAAAAATATATTACCCTTAAATTTGGGCAAAGATTACTGGTAAAAATAAAAATCATTCAAACTTAAAATAATGAAACCGTTAACGCGGTAAATGTGTACGTATTTTTCATACGTTTTTTCCTGTATTTCCAATTAGTATGAAAACTACTTGGAAAATCAAAAATAGTCGTTCTCACTAATCAAATAGACAATATTTTCTTTCGAACATAACGTTATTTTAGATTTTAAAAGTAGCGAGGGATCTATTAGTAATACTATGATGAGTGTGTTTTTGTTTGTGTCTGTGAGCAACTTTTATACCAGAAAACTCGTTCCGAAGTACCAAGTGTAACACATTTTCTGAAAGGTAATTTTCTCTCGTTGATACATTGGGGAAGATATTTTTTAATTTTCTAAAGGATTTCTAGAATAATTGAAAAAGTAATGTGGAAAATTAATGGTAAAATGACAAATATTCACGCGTGGCACGCAACGGCGTTACTTTTTTCACAGTTAATAATTTCTGCAACTTGTGTTTTATATCAAAAATATTGCTCCAATCAAAAATGACAAGATATCGACTTTTGTCTAATTTAATATAGAGCCACTGAATAATAAAGTTATTTTTTAAAGAATGATTAGGAAATATCAAAAAAGTCGAAAAATACGATTTTTTTTAAAAAATTACGGCGCAACGTTTTCATTATTTAAAATTTTAATGGTTTAATTTTCCCATCAAAAATTAAAAATAACAAAATTCTTTTTTGCTGTATTTGTAATCTGGTTAGTTACCAAGAAAGTTGTTTTTTGATTTTGTTTGTAGGTTTTTTAGTACTTGAACAAAATTGAAAAATACGTAGAAAGGATGGAAAAATTTTAAAATTGTTTTATCGTTTTAAATTTTGTTTTTTTAATATAATTCAGTAATTTGTTCTGGACTTTTCCCATTCATTTTGAAATTCACTAGGAAAATAAAAGAATGGCTTTCTTAAAGTACCGCCTCAGCTGAATTTCCATTCAAAACAAGAGGCTGCATTTGTAAATCGGAGCAAAATTTCCGGTAGAAAAATTGTCCACAGAAAAAAAAAAAAATAAAATAAATAATCATCATTGTAAAACCAACACATTCCTTATTCCACTAAGGATCTGAATAACACATCAATTAAAAAATACCCTCGGAATCTAGAAAAAAAAAAAATCAAAATCCATATTGTCGGGTACAGAAATTTCCGTATGTAAGTGTATACGACAATATTATATTTTTATAATACCGTGAATTACCTACGCGGCCCGGTTCGATTCGCGAAATTCATGTACCTAATAAAAAATAGGTATACCGCCGTTGTTGTCGTTGTTGTCGTTTCCGTAAAATATTCATGAAAGAAAATCGTCGAGTTTTGATGTCATCGCGCGCGCCGCTTCCTTTTATTTATGCTAATCCGATATTGATCAGCGGCGCTTCGCGGATATTAAAAATAGACTTATAATATAACTCTATACATATAATTATAATAAGTACGGCAACGGAAGGATAAAATAAAGGGAGCCGACGGTGTCGTTCGTGCAAAAGGCCGGATTAAGGGTCCAGTATAGAAGCCCGGGGCTGAACTCAAAAACTCGGACTCTCTTAGCAAACGTTTTTGTACTGTTAACAGTATTTTTAGAGGAGCCCAGTTACAGCGAACAAATTGACTTTCCGTGATATTTAACTCGTCCGGTAAAATTTCAACAGAGGATAAATTATAAGACTTTTGTAATTTATGATAGTTCGCTAGTGAAATTTTACATTCCAGATCAAATATCACGGGAGTCAATAACCACTGACACACCGGTTCCAGCGCGTTTTTTGGCTTGGAAACATGCCTAAAGGGGAAATCTCCTATGATCAGGTAAAACGGTGCTATTTTTGACGATTATTATTATTTTATTTTATTTTATTTTTTTTATATAAAAATGACTGAATCTCTAATGTCTAATGTGGACTGCATGGAACTTCGGTTTTTTATTTTTAATCACAAACTCCGTAATATATGTTTTTTATAGAAAAAGTCAATATAATAATAATAAAATACACAATATTGTAAAACCAATACATTCCTTGCTCCACTTAAAATCTAAAATTATTTTTCGATTTTGTACATAACACGGATAACTTATAACATTATTGTATCTAAATTCACATTGAATAAAATGTATTTCACGAATAATAATAATTGTGAAATTATTGATTACCGGTATAGTTCTTCAATCCGTGGTACTTGTCGAACGCCATTATACCTCAATTATTTCAAATTTATCACAGACATTATAATAATACTACCTATCCTTTTTAATGGTAGGGTCGTTAATATCCTAATAATTACTTCTTTTTTTTTTTTTTTCTACCGTTCGCCGGTTAATCCATAATCGATGGATCCATCGATTGGTAACTAATAGTGCAATAACTAATGTACTTAGAACGAATATTAAAAAAAAAAAAAACACTGTTCACCATGTAAAACGAACGAACAGACTAAACACCTAAACAATAATACGGAGTATAGATCTTCGGCAGATTATTCAATTTAGGCAATAGAAAATCCGTATAGACATCTACATATTATAATAATATTTATTTATGTATTTATTTACGAGTATTAACCATTTAATAATTTTGTTTTTACTTTATTATTGTGTTATACGCGGAACTGTCTTATTTATTGTTATACGTGGTCAAAGAAAAATCATGAAGCTATAAGATAATATGTTGTGCGAAAAATACAATTTATAAGACTGTAGAAATTATTTTAAATTCTTGCCATTCAGTGCATATTAACCTAATTTGTATTTTGTTTTGTGTACAAATTATACATATAAACTAATTATAATGCGCGTTGAGGTGTTGTTCGTTGTAGCGATTGAGTAATCGCATGTAAAAATCACGGTATACAACTATATTACGGCATCATAGAATAATTTCGGGGGAGAAATTCGATCCTAGTGCGGAGCTTTGATGCTCATAGGTAATTTTTCTGGAAAATTATATTTAGTACGTTGAAAACGTGAAAAAAAAAATCTAACCGTAGCAATATATGATTATAAAATATGATATTATACGGATAACAATTATTCGTTGAACACCAAAGGTTCGTTAAAAAAAAAAAGCATGTCACTTTTTTTTAATTTCCAACCTCGTCGCTTCCGAAAAACTGAAAAACCGCAGTGAAAAATTATATAGCCAAGGAACGAGAGGTAAAATTTATAATTCTGAGCTTGACCCGGAATCGTTTTCCAAACACAATGATTTATTATAACGTTCTGTTAATACAACGAAAAAAAAAAAAACAAAAAACGCGCCCTTGTGATTTAGCCAAAATAGCGGCCTACCCGAGCTGATATGCGTCCGGTATCAAAAAAATAATAAAATTACAAATAAATAAATAAAACATTTTCATATAGAAATGGTTTGCCGAAAAGTTAAATATATGAATAAAGTTTATATTTTAAATTTAAATGAAATAATAATATTTTCCACCACTAGATTTAGTACTTCCATCATTAGATATCAATACAAGATAACTGAAATATAGCAGTTATATTATGTTTGTCCGTCTGTACGGCGGATACGGACAAAATAAATGTTAACATTTAATTAAAAAGTAAAACTATTTTAATTTTATACATATAATTTTTACATCAAAGACATAATAAATAATAAGATACGATTTATCGAGGCGAATTGAATATAATAATATATAAATACGGTTTACATTTCATTTTTTATTATTTTATTTATCGGAATACATTATACAGGGTGTCCTATAAAGATATACCTATTGGAATATATCTCTGTAGATAATAAACATAGTATAATTTTGTTTTTTTTTTTGTTATTATTTATAGAAATAAAAACTGTTTTAGATGATTTTTTAATAAAACCTTATTTATTATTTTTGAAATCTTTGAATATAAAGTTTATTCTTCTGAACATTTTAACGTATTAATTGTTTTATTTTCATTAAATTCGCGATACTTTTATAATTTTTTAAAGTTCAGAAAAAGAAGTATACAGCCAATACTAAGTGTTTCAAAAAGGTTAACAATTTAAGGATGCATCG